CTATTCTACAGTCTATGTAGCGTCTGTAGTCTGACATCTCTATTCTACAGTCTATGTAGCGTCTGTAGTCTGACATCTCTATTCTACAGTCTATGTAGTGTCTGTAGTCTGACATCCAAACGTGCTATGTGTTGTACCCATGATATGCTTCTATTTCAAGTTTCCTAATCCGCATGTGTTGGATATCTGCACGTTCGTTGCTTTGAACACCCGCACAGCCCAGTACACAGATGAAGGTCAAGTTAGTCATTCGCAATTGTTACAATCCATTCTTGTCTGATGAAACCAGCGTGGATCTTTTAAGCATTATTAATAATTTTTTTTTCTTTCTTTTTGGCGTTTCGCAGCTGTAAACTCCTGCAGAAATTTTTTTTTTTTGTTCGTCCATCTCTGAACGTTTGTCTTGTTCCAGAATCTGAGTGTTGTGTACACATTCGTTTTACAAATCTGACTTATATGTATGCAGATTGTTGGTTCCTCTCAGGCAGATGCACCCTGACTTGGAAGGAGCATATTAACTGAGTCACTAAGTATGTACGCAAGTCCTTGAGTGAGATTTCGGTCTTGATATAGCCTTAATCAGAGATACACTGACAAACACGCTTGACCCATAGGCTACCCAGATAAACGCTTTCCTGAAACTGCGAGTCCGGACACGTCTGCTGTACTTGATCAAATAAACACGCTCGGAGTCTGGAGTGACAGGCGCAAAGACCTGAGGTGCAGCAGCCAATGTATGACGTCACCGGTTGGGAAGCTTCCATGTGATCTATTCTCATTTCCACTGTGGTCAGCGACTGCAGCATCTGAAAAGGAAAACATATCTCCCTTGATGGCTTTTTTCTATGCTTTTCTTTGACATATAATTGTATCCGTGTTTGTTTGTATAGCATGCTGATGAAGGCTTTTCTAGCGCAACGTTCATTTGTTATTCGTGGTTGTGGTATTGTGGAGCGGATTAGTTCTAGCTTTCGATTTTTATGTTGTCTATTGTGTTCTTCTATCTATCTACTTCTTTCTGTGAGTGCCGATCAATGCATTTTCTGTTACTTGATTACTTCTCATTTGGACTGACATGTTTCCATGACATAGAGAGTAAGTCTGGGTGCTGGGCCAGGGAGAGGTTGTCACGTAAAGCAACCGTTTCCCCTCCTAGAAATCAATTGGGCACTTGATGTTAGTGGCATCTTTACAGTCCCATAGACACGCTAGGAGTTAGGGTGGCTAATATCCCACGGGCAGTCGTTTATTTTGTAAGTCATCAATAGGGAGTTGGAAATCAGGACCGCCTGGTGTACAGGTAAGCTTGCTATCCACTGCACTACTTTGGTAGTAGGTTGGGGAACAGTGTGTAGATACTTCACCACTTGTGCGCCTCTGTGTCTTTGAGGTTGGGGGGGGTGCGTTTAACAGTTTCACGTTTCTGGAGTGCCAGGGCAGTGATCATCAATCCTTGTATGCGCGTTGTCCGACATAACAGCGGAAATTGAGAGTTAACCAAATACAAAACAAAAACAGCGGAAAATGTGAGTTAACCAAACCAAACAAAATCAGCGGAAATTGAGAGCTAACCAAACAGATGACAAAAACAGCGGAAATTGAGAGCTAACCAAACAGATGACAAAAACAGCGTAAATTGAGAGCTAACCAAACAGATGACAAAAACAGCGGAAATTGAGAGCTAACTAAACACAAAACAAAAAACAGCGGAAATTGAGAGCTAACCAAACACAAAACAAAAAACAGCGGAAATTGAGAGCTAACCAAACACAAAACAAAAAACAGCGGAAATTGAGAGCTAACCAAACACAAAACAAAAAACAGCGGAAATTGAGAACTAACCAAACACAAAACAAAAAACAGCGGAAATTGAGAACTAACCAAACACAAAACAAAAACAATCAGAACATGGGGACAGCTGCAAGCGATAGCGAAGGATAGAACAACTTGAGGTGAGTTGGTTGAGGGCCTATGCTCCATTGAGGGTTAGAAATGCAGAAGAAGAAGAAGAAGACAGTTACATTATCACATCCTACAGTTGTCAATTTGTCCACAAGGTACAGTAATGCTCATTATGTGTGTTTTTCGTTGGCACAGGAGCGGATCAACTATGGGGTGACTCGTTTGCAACGAAGCTAAAACTTCAGATTACAGTTGCCAAGGCTTTTTATTATTATTATTATTATTATTATTATTATTATTATTATTATTATTATTATTATTATTATTACTATTATTCTCTAGATAATACTGAACAAAAACAAGTCCATACCTGGATAAGATCAGCCAGTAGGAAAATGATCACAGTGAACTCACATCGTATATACATTTCCACTGAATGAACAGGCACTGAAGACAACTGATACTTCTCTCTAGGCGCGATACAGTTCTATAATGATCCTTTTGCGCAGAAATTACATCATCCTCAATGCACTTGCTCACATATTGCTAATATAAATTTCCGTAACAATCTCGCTCAGTTTTGTTTCATTCTTCCCTTTTTACAAATAAGATTTTATTGGTTTAAATGTTTGTAAATGGTTTAGCATCTTGTGAAAGAAAATGGGTAGCTCTCAAAATAGTGCAGATTCCGTGTGCTATTGATGTGACCTTGCCTAGTTTCCTTCCATTGTGCAACAGGACATGAGTCGAAACGCACAGTTTAGTGACAACAAATCTGCTTGACTAAAAATAAAACGAAACAAAAGACTAGGCATGTTGCCTCGCTGAGCCATCTCTGACACTGTGAATAAGAGGCTTTGTGACAAAGCTTCAGTTTTTGTTGTTGTCCGTTTGTCTTGTGCACACATCATGAAGGAGAGAGTCTGCACTTTTGGTTCGAGGGAGGTAGCACTACTGAGCCTTTTAAACTGTGTTTGTCTTCCCTGAAAGGAGTGTTGGCTAGAGAACTACGCCAGCTTACAGTTGATGCGTGTAACGGAAAAAGGGATGCTAACGTGCAATCGTTCATGCATGTCATTAGAGTCGATTAAGAATAGCTCGTCATTATGAATCAACAGGTCCTTTACAGAACGTCGCTCTCGTCACAGCATGGCTGACAGTATTGCTTTCTCTAACAAATTCTCCAGCCATGCATGCTTTCATAGTCAATACATCAAATATCTAGTCATCCTCTTGTGAGATGCAATTTTTTCGTTTTTTTAAACCTTACTCTGGCTCTTGCCAGAGGCCGCAGCATAGCTCGGCCATAAATATGGCCTAATGGCTGAACGCGGTTTTCGGGACCTATCCACGGGTGATCCTCATCCGCATGGTGGCACTTTGTGTCATCGGGTGTTTATCGCTTGTGTGGTAGGGTCAAATGTACTACTATTTCGGTGTCTTGTATCCATCTTGGCCGAGGTCTGCCTCTGCATCGTTTTGCTGAAACTGTCCCCTCCATTACCATTGTCTTCAAGCAACCATGAAGTTTATGACGGCTAACAAAGCTCAGCTTTCGATACAGGATGCAGTTTATGAGGCTTGTCACTGGATACTTCATCTCATAGAAAGATGAGGCTTGTCACTGGGTACTTCATCTCATAGAAAGATGAGGCTTGTCCCTGGGTACTTTATCTCATAGAAAGATGAGGCTTGTCACTGGGTACTTCATCTCATAGAAAGATGAGGCTTGTCACTGGGTACTTCATCTTATAGAAAGATGAGGCTTGTCACTGGATACTTCATCGTATAGAAAGATGAGGCTTGTCACTGGGTACTTCATCTTATAGAAAGATGAGGCTTGTCACTGGGTACTTCATCTCATAGAAAGATGAGGCTTGTCACTGGGTACTTCATCTCATAGAAAGATGAGGCTTGTCACTGGGTACTTTATCTCATAGAAAGATGAGGCTTGTCACTGGGTACTTCATCTCATAGAAAGATGAGGCTTGTCACTGGGTACTTTATCTCATAGATAGATGAGGCTTGTCACTGGGTACTTCATCTCATAGAAAGAAGAGGCTTGTCACTGGGTACTTCATCTCATAGATAGATGAGGCTTGTCACTGGGTACTTCATCTCATAGAAAGATGAGGCTTGTCACTGGGTACTTTATTTCATAGAAAGATGAGGCTTGTCACTGGGTACTTCATCTCATAGAAAGATGAGGCTTGTCACTGGGTACTTTATCTCATAGATAGATAAGGCTTGTCACTGGGTACTTTATCTCATAGATAGATGAGGCTTGTCACTGGGTACTTCATCTCATAGAAAGATGAGGCTTGTCACTGGGTACTTCATCTCATAGAAAGATGAGGCTTGTCACTGGGTACTTCATCTCATAGAAAGATGAAGCTTATCACTGGGTACTTCATCTCATAGAAAGCTAGAGCCGAGAGCCCCGGCAGTAGTAGGCTAACGTAATTGAGCGCTTTTTTGGACTAAGCCGCCTTCTTTATCCTTAGTAAAAGATGGCGACCAAATCTGCTTGGTCTGTTCTGGCGGCTATTCTTTATCCTTAGTAAATATCGATCGGGCAGCCGCCCTCTTTGTCCTTAGTAAATATCGATCGGGCCGCTGATGACAGCCCGTGTGACTGGTTTCAGGGGAAAGACATATGATGCATAAATCGATATGTATAAAGAACTTGAAAATGCGAAATGAAATATATATGTTCGCTTGAGCGACCATGCTTCGTCACAACCTACGATTAGTTCATGTGCTGACACCCCTCCATGACATGACAAAAAACTGTCAAGAATCTTCTAGGGTTGTCCCCAGCTGTTTCTACGAGGTCTCTTCTGTGCCATTTTTTCTTGGTTTTCTTTTTGTTCTTGTTGTTGTTGTTGTTCTTGTTATTGTTGTTGTTGTTCTTCTTCTTCTTCTTCTTCTTCTTCTTCTTCTTCTTCTTCTTCTTCTTCTTCTTCTGCGTTCGCTCTTTCAATGGGGGTTGGCAAGTTATATTGTGATTTACAGAAAGTCTATGATATCTACGCTTTTCGGTCCAGCATCATCATCATCAGCATCATTATCAGCATAAACGTCATCATTATCAGCAGCATCAACATCATCAGTAGCAACATTATTAGTAGCAGTATCATCATTGTCAACAGCAGCATCATGACCAACATCACCAACATCATCAAAGGGTCCTTTATGTTGTCCATTCTTTATTCCCAGAATACGCTGACCTGCGGTGTCCACTACAACTGCTGCTCCCCCTACTGGAAGATGTGCATCAAAGATTCTGACTGCTGCGATCATGAACACGTCTGCCGTGCCGCAGAGGACTTTCTGTATGATCGCTGCTTGTATCCAAGTTCAGGTGGTCTCACACATGAACACTGCAACATCCTCTCAACCACTTCCATAATTTGTACAGTGTTATTAATTTGGTTGGGTCGGTTCGCTGGTGAGGGTTAAAGGATTTGAACCATGGCTTCAGATTCTGACTGTGAGAACCACCGATTAAAACAAACGTGTTTATTACTTCAATCAACATCATCATCAAATGCTCTCAGATTTAAGAGTAAAGGAGAACAGGAAATGTTACTTTTAACATGTTCAGGTTTGCCAGGCATTTTTGTCTAGAGACATGAAACTTTTTTATGTATTCACTACATCGGCCATGCACTCAGAATGTTTAAGACCAGACACCTTCATCAAGCCCTCATATGGACATCGGCCATGCACTCAGAATGTTTAAGACCAGACACCTTCATCAAGCCCTCATATGGACACCGGAGGGCAACAGAAAACGGAGACGACCAAGATGAGAACCTGCGAGAACCATCATCAGAGAAGGCTCAACCATGGACCAATTGTGGCAATGAACTGCAAAACATGGAGAGCTATGACCTTTGCCCAATGTGCCGCCCTAGGCTCAAGTGGAAAGACTGACTAACTAACCCTGAGGACCAGTTGTCACTTTGTGTTTGTAGCTAGCCTGCAATATCTGCACCTTTCAACCGACCACTTCTGACTTCTGCAGATCAATAATTAGTCAGTCCCCTTTATGACATAATTGTTAAAATAGCAGTAGCTCTGTCCTTTTCTTCCCCAAAATGGGGCCCAGAACCCACATAAAAAAATATGAAATGACTGGTACAATAACGTTTCCAGCCATCTTGTCTGAGTTGAGTCAAGAATTGACATCAAAGCACTCGGGGCATTCCCGTGCATGCTCCATCCTCATCTTCAGCAGCCAGCGCAAAGTTCAGATACTGATGGTACTGGTCACAATCTGGCTATATGTCCGTCTTGCTTTTCCTCTTAGCGTAGTGAGCCGGCAAGACCCTCTGGTTACACCCAGATGCATCATTATCTTGTCTGAAAATGTTTAAGATGTAACATTCATTCTTTAACTGTAATTGCTCAATAATTGTGTAATTCTTCAGGTGTCTGTGAAGCCATCTTGTCAGAAAAAGCCTACGATTTAACATTTATTCCTCAACATTTTTAGGCTGTAGGAGTTAATAATTAAAATCAAAATTAGCGTTTGGTAATGTTAATGAGTTGGTTGAGGGCCTATGCTCCATTGGGAGATAGAAAGGCAGAAGAAGAAGAAGAAGAATGTTAAACATCATACATCTCACATAATATTGCACTGTTTTATACAAAGTGGAAAAGGTTTTTTTTTTTCGGTCTCTTGGCGATTCAGAAAGCATAATTAAAGATTGTGTTTGCTATTGTAGAAGTTTAGAACAAATAATTGATTCCTTCTTTTTTTTTTTTTTTTTTTTTTTTTTTTTTTAACAATGAAAATCTGCTTGTCTAAAGATTTTTATGATTATACTGAGAATATGTGAAAAGCTTTGTAAATCAAAGTTGGAGTGACTTTGTGAAATGACCCTTACCTCCATCTAGACTTGGGCTGAGTTCAAATCTCATCATATAACAGGTTCTTTGCAGAAAATTGCTCTCATCACTGTCTACCTGAAAGAAATGTGGTCTCTCGTCAGCTCTCCCACCGTGTGTACTTTCGTCTTCTTTGTGATGGTCAGCTCCTGACTCTCCTTCCTGGTACCATGCCTTCTGGTATATGTTTTTCCCAATCTGCCATGGCGCTTCAAATCTAGTTCAGATCTAGATATGTGCAACTGTTTGCATCAAATCTGCCATGGCGCTTCAAATCTAGTTCAGATCTAGATATGTGCAATTGTTTGCACCAAATCTGCCATGGCGCTTCAAATCTAGTTCAGATCTAGATATGTGCAATTGTTTGCATAAACTCCAGGTACGGGTTTAAAGACCCAGTTTTTATCATTATCTTTATCATAAACGACTTCTGCCGTTAAGCTCCGTGGGAGATGAAAATTTGCGATCTAGTGCACGCTTGCTGCCACAGGCTATCATTATGCCATGAAGGCTTAATGTCTTTAATCTTGTCAATCCATTTTTTCCACAGCCATCCTCTTGTTCTTGTAGCTGATTTTCTGAGATATAGTGCTTGTGATGATATTTGATCTTGCTGCATTCAAACGAGATGGCTAAAACCACTTGATCTACTGTTTCTCGATGAATCTAGTACAAGGTGTCGTTCCCACAGTGTCTTACAGTATCATTATTCACCCCATCTCGGTTTGAGCATCAAATTAACACCATGGCACACCAGTAATAACCTATAAGTGCTCTATTCTTCTTCTAACTTAAGTCTGAGTCCGAAGAAGCTTAGCACAATGCATAGACTCTGTAGCACTGGCGAGGATCCCGAAATACTTTTACTCTGTAGCCGTTAGGCTACTCTTTGATTTCCAACAGCTAAGGGGTTTTTTACATGCGCAACAATGCACACGGGTGCCCTATCTGACTACCCAGAGAAACCAGGGACAATATTAGAAATCCAGGTCCATATGAAAAAATCCCAGCCCTTACCGGGGTTTGAACCCGGAACCTCTAGCACTTGAATGATGATACTATCAGACAAATTACGGGAATGACGCACTGTACTAAATTCTTCAAGAAACAGCAGCAGATCAAGTGTTTTGGCCATCTCGTTAAAATACAACAGTTTATGTGTGTGGGGTTTTCCCCTCTGTTCCTCAGCATGCATATTGTCAAAGAAAACTGTTGAAGAGTTTATTGAAATTGGATGTGATGTACCTTAAAGCACAGATATCAGCCTGGCTGTAATCCTCAACAGAATGTACTACCCCTCCCCCCCCCCCCCAACTCCCTGATTTTGATGCCTTTTTTGTTTAATTCAGTTTGTCCATGAAATGGCCTTTCTTTTTCCAGTTTATGTAACTAAATTTCTTGTTAATGTTCTAATGAAATATTTTTTCAGTCTGTCCATGTAACGACATGTTTTTTCAATAATTTTGTCCATGTAATAATTACATTTCCACGTTGTCCTTTTCGGTGACACTTTGTACATGCATGAGATATTTACTTTTTCCGCCCATTCTCATATTGTCTTAACTGGTCTGACTATTTTCTACACATATTTTATTTGTCTGTCAGTTTTCATGATATTTAGCATTACTATCTCTACCCATTTTCGTATTCTTATCTTGTCAAATTTCATGACATTTTTTACTTTGTCTGATGTTTACTTCTGTGTGCATTTTATGGATATTTGTCCTACCAATTTTAATGGAATTATTTGTTACATTTGTCCTTTTTTGAAACTGTTAAATTCTGTTTTCATGACAAATTTTTTTTCAACTTTTGATATGTATAACATTTGGTAAACTAAGTTCCATTGTTAATTCTCATTACATGACTTACTATTGCGCAGATCTGATACTGCTACAATTCTCTGCAGTGTCTTATTACATGACTTACTACTGTTGTCACATACCGCTCGTGTGGCGTGCCTGTTTTACGGATTTCTCCTTAAGAATCAACATTACTCTGAAACAGAATAATGTTGAGGTGTCGGCTCGTATTGGTCTAAAGGGTATTCCGTAGCCAATATACACCAACCTATTTCAGGAGTAGGGCAACTCAAGTTATGGCACTACAGAATATATAATAATCCTAGGCTGGACGTCCCCACTATTATAAGAAGATAGCACCCAGGCTATGATATTGTAATATCACAGCCATGTTAACACAGATTGAGATTAATGATCACACATACATAAATGCTAGACAGTTTGAACAGTGAAACAGGGACACCCAAGTCAGTAATGAAAACTTCCAAATGCATGTAATAAACGCAACACAAATATATATATATATATATATATATATATATATATATATATATATATATATATATATATATATATATATATATATATATATATATCATCAAGACAAGCAAGGATGTTCCCAGGTGAATGAAGTTCGGGAACTAAAGTCCAGATAGTACTGCTGAATCAGCTAGAGTCAGTCTATGAGAGTGTCCAGGATCATCATCATGGCTCCAGGTGGACCTGTAAAAAGAGCATGAGGAAATGATCACTGAAGCATTTATCCAAGTGTGGTGGATGTCACTGCTCTTCTCAGTCCATGGTGATCTGAACAGGATGATTCAGGTAGACTGCTTCTTTTCCTGGTAAACACTGACAGAGTTCATACACTGGAGCTCGACAAAGGTCCTGAGGAAGGTTCTCCTTGATGGATAACAAATGGGTGGCCTGCAACAACTGTCTTTTAGCAACTGGAGCCCAAACAAGCTCCTGAAGAAGGATCTCCTTGAGTGATGACAAATGAGTGGCCTGCAACAACTGCCTCTTAGTCACCGGAGCCCAAAACAAGCTCCTGCCATGTTGAAGTTGTGGTGGTATTAGGCACTATTAGTGGATGGTGGTTGGTGGGACTGCTGATCCTCTGCCTGACTTCCAGGGAGGTATCATTCTGTGTCAGGAAGTGACTTAGAATTAGTATTAATCTCCGGAGTCACATACCTAGCTCAATTTATTACCTTCCACCCTTCTCAGTCACTAAGAGGATAGCTCTCAGGATAATGAGACAGTTAAATCTTCATTTATCTCTGTCTGTCAGTCAGTACGAGGGATAGGAGACAAGGTCCATAGTGAAGACAGATAGACTCTAGTACACACAGGACATCATCTCTCCACATCACATCTGCACTTGTAGACACACATATATTTTATACCTTCACAGTCTGACCGTAGCTGACACTGTTGTGTTGTGTCTGCTAAACATAACCTCTGACAACACAGCCTCTCGCTCACTGTAGTTTGACCCAGTTAAATCTGCTGGCTATATCGATCTGAATCTCAGTGTGTTAGAGAATAATTAGCCTGCTAGATTAAAACATTTACACTAAAATTGGTCAGGTAGGGCAAACTATCAGCTTGCGAAGGGAAAGCTTTGGTTTAAGTGGCTGTGAGTACTTGGACACCAAGAACGGTCTTGTTCTGTGCTGTCTCATAGCTGAATCTTTCCTTTCTGCAGCATCAGGTTAACTTCATAGAGACATATATCATGGTAACAGCAAACTATAATCA